AGAGACCATAAAATTAAGAATGAAATATCGTTATCCGTTATATCTTCGTTAAATCTCGAAAGCCAGGTCACAGAAACTTTTTTAATGATTCATAAATATTCACAGTAGTTAAGAGATAATAAAAAATATAATGTTGAAGAAAATTGAAATATAAGAAGGAAAAACTATACTGTAAGATACAGTTTTCTCCACGATGTGAGGCGAAAATTGCTATCCGCCAAGAGACTTTCCAACAGTTTCGCGGTTTAGATGACACACTTTTAAACAAGTTGTCGTGAAATGACCCGCTATTAATGCCGGAGCAAGATCGTCCAACGGTGTCCCATGATCCTGATTTGATGCGGAAAGATTCGGTCTGCCCAATTACGGTGTTCTCTTCGTTATGGGTCGAGCGCATCTCTCGCGCAGGGAGCTTCGTGTACGACAAATTGCGCGGCTAATGACCCGATCGTTCATTTAATTGTACGGGCACATTTGCGCGGCGATTGTACGCCGAAATTGTTTCTCGCGTCCGCAATCGACGATTCGCCCTCGAAGCATAATAGAAATTGGTAGAGAAACATAATATCGGACTTTCCGCCCTTTCCCCCCTCTCCCTTTCCCCTATAAACGACAAACGACCGACGCGATATAATCCGCCGTTAGTATTTACATCGGCGTTTGTGACTCCGGTCGCGCGCGAATAATCCGGAACCCGTTGTAGTCAGACATTGTCCGGAATAGTGAGAGATAACTAAACGGCCGAAAACTGTTCGCCAACTAACTTGGTCGTATAATATCGATTTTCTCTCTCCGTCGACGAATAATTTCGCGTGTTCCAGCAAATTTACTCCTACGAGCGTTAAATAATTCCACCGCAGGATCAATTATTTGTTAACGATTAACTAATCGAGCGAGTCTCATTTTAACAGAATTGCGGGATCGCAATTGAAATGTTGAATAACTAAAAAGAATTTTAATTGAGAGTAATATTAAAAGACGGATATATGTTTTTACTCAGGTTTTTTACATGAAAATTATGTAACTATAAGAGACAGAGAGAAGAGAGAAGGGGTCATATATCGAGGTGCCCTCCAGCCGGTATTGATCCTTCCTGCGGAAACACTATGTACGGACACTACCGGAGACCCGGTTTAACAGCGTTGCGGCAGCGTATACATTTTACAAGAGAGCGACGGTGTGTTTAAACATCCGGTACTAAAGGCGAAACTACTCTGCGGCGCGACCGGCGGTTTTCGCTCACCGCTCGTTTCCATTCGACGAGAATTTATCGTCGCGATCCCGACGGTTCATGACCGTGAAAAGAGCGCGAACACGATCGCTTGTCGATGCCTCCGCATCTTGTGGGGCGAGAGGGAGGAAGCGCTCTGGAAACGCAACAAGTTCGCGAGATGCCTTCTTCCTTTCGTTATCCTTTCGTGTCGTTGGAACTTGGCCAATCATGATCCCCTCGACGACCACTCACCCGTTTCGCTGTCTCTCTCTTTCTCGTCTTTTTTTACTTTTGTTTGGTGCATTTCTGCCTCTAAAACATCCTTGATAGCGCTCGATTACCGGCTTGACGCTCGCGATAATTGATCTCGTGCAAAATATATCGAGTACCCTGGAGCAATTTTTCGTAAATATTCTCATAAAAGTGTAACAGACACATGGTAATTCTTAATGTCATGAGAGAAGAAGAAAAAGACATTTATAATTCATTGTATATCATTTGTATTTCGTTCTCAATATTTTGAGCGCAAAACTCGTTAAAATTCTTTTTTGTAAAATACGAATCAAACTTTTAATAAAAACTAATTTAAAACTTTTAATAAAAACGAATTTTACTTGTTTGATCTTGTAGTAACTTGGGGATTATTTTCGCTCATGGCACCGAATCTATAAGGCCGCAATTAGAAATTTCCCACGTTTGACAGCGCGTCATTAAGCGATTACCGGAAGCCGCTTACATACGCAGCGGCTTTGGAAAGGCATATTCGTGCACTGCTTTCGGTCGCATATCGAGACTGCGAATTTCAGAGAGCCTCGTTTGCGCTTCCGATGCTGCGGTGCGCCGCAACGATCGACTATCTGAATCCGCGAAACGTTCGATTTCGGCCGCATCCTGCGAGACGTCACGACGATGCGGCCTGCATTCGCGATAAAACCGCACTCGCGAATATCTGCTCTTTTAAAGTCAATTAAATTAAGATTTTCGACGCAGATGTTACTCGCAGAAAATGTTTTGTCTAATTTATCATCACTAAAAAAAAACTGGCTGAAACTTCATACAAAGTGTCTGCAGCTTTTTTGCAGACATACTGTCTGAATTTTCAGACAAAAAATTAATTTTTAGAAAATTTTTTACAGGGATGTGAATTCCAAAATAAAGATATCTTCCTTTCTCGAGCAAAGAGAGGGACTTCTCTTTGAAATCCCGCTCTTTACTTCCAATTTTCTTTTTGAATCAATTGATATTTTCTTTCGAATATTAAAGAAAGCTTTTTAGAAATTATTTTTCTACATTATCGAATTAATGTTTACAAACCAAAAGTAATAATGACTTCGAATTATGCAAGTGAAGTGAATATCGATCTAATAGATATTAATGACATATTAATATAACAGTTAATACGTTATCAACGGAAAGTGTTAGCCATTAATAATGTAAATCTTTCCTGCATATAGTCATGAATCCCCAATTCTATATTACAATTAGCAGCTTATACTACTGTTTCAAGCTAGAATTTATTCATCAATTTATATTAAATTTTAATTATTATATATATTAATATATGTATATATTTTTTTAATTGATCTTAAATTACCTGGAATCTCAATTCAGTGCATTTAAAGTTACATAAATGATCAAATCAAGCTATTAACAACTCGCGCCGTGCGTCATCGATTTCTCCTCTATCCGAAGTCAAAGATTAAGAATCACGCTTGATTCGAGTTCGATTATCATGATGTTTCCACTCGATGCATCATGATATCTAATCACGAGAAATATATATCATCGATCTATCCTAACGTACGAAGCCGCATGTCAATCCAGATACGGGAGAGCCATCTTGAGCCATTATTCTGCACGAGGGATTCTGCAGTCGTTTGTATAAATTAGCATTTCTACGGACAGCAGAATAGAGTCTTATTGATCGCCGGTCAAAGGGCTCCACTTTGATTTTACACCCGGTGCGACTAATAATCCTGTCTCGGGACTCGGATATATCGTAGACAAATGATGAAACTATGAAGATAATCAAGAATGTCATAATTATACAGAGAATGTCTTATGTAGGTACAGGTCGTATTCTTTATAAAAATATAAATATCTTTTTTTCTTTTGGCAAAATTTCCTAAAATGCATCGGTTTCGAGATATCTCATTTTTTAATGTCAATACAATTTCCTGTTTCTTGATTCTTCGTGTAAACATTTTGGTAATTTTATTATAATTTTATCTAATATTTTCATTACATATGAAAATTAATGTCTATTTTATTTACGTCAGAGCCAGAAAGCGCATATTTTGTTGACATAAGGAAATTTATTTTATATCAACCCAAATAGAATTTTTTTCTCCCTCTCTATTAAAGTGTTTCATTATAAAAAACTAAATATTAAACTTACATATAGATATTTCACTATACATATAGATATTCCAAATCTGGCATTAAAATTTTTGTTTAGCCATAAAATTTCTCTTTGTCTTAAATAAATGAAAAAACGTTAAAAGGAGTAGAAAAAAAAAATTGGAAGGGTCGGCACCGAAAAAATATTTATTTTTTACCTCGATATTTCCCTTGACTAAAATGTCGTAAAATGAAAAATTCCCGCGAGATTTTCTCAAAGGCATTTCTCCCCTATCTTTGCGTACCTTCAGGATTTCGTAGTCCGGAAAAATAGCGTCTTTCTTATCCCCGGAGTTACTCGTAATGCGACTGTGAAAGAAATACGACCCCACGTGTACCGGGCCGTTTCTCTGTCTCGCAATTTCAGTGATTCGTGCCGTGACTCCGAAGGCGCGTTTGACGTCGCGCGTGCGAACTTCTGAATAGGCGTAGGCGTTATCAGTCGATTTCACCGCGGCGTGTAAAGAGCTTTCCGTACGCCCGCTATACACACACGGAAAAAAAAGATTAGCAACAGGAGCTAATATATAGCTGTGATAGATAAAATGTGTCCTTAAAATAAGGACAGCTAATACTGTTGCTGCCCAAGCTAAATGTATTAGCTATTTTTTTTTTTTTTTAGCTATTTTAACGCGTCGATGTTGTCAATGACAGCGTCGCAGAAACAATTAAACAATTGTGAATCGAAGATTCGCGCGCATACCCATAAACTTAGCTGCGCGTGCTAAATGTTTTAGCTATAAAGCATATTCCGCAATGTATGCGCATAGTAAGAAATTTAGGTACGGTTGCTATCTTTATAGCTGCTCGTGTTAATATACGCTTTCAATTTCAGCTAATAAATTTTCATGCCACAGTGAATTTTTTTTACCTATAATAACTAGTACTTAGCTATGACACTAAGGCGATAGCTCTTACAGCTAAGTTTGATTCAGCTACTGAAATTTAGCTGCTATTGTTAAGTCATTTTTTTTGCGTGCAATAATGCAATGAGCCAGCCGGCAAGCTGAGTTATAATAATATGCAGCAAAGTCGGGGACAAAACTTTTATCTTGTTATGAACTTGCTCGTTTTACTTTGACGCTTATTAATGTCGTCGATAGTCTCGCGAAAATGACAAACTGCGAGCCGGCAAACTCGAACTTTCGTGCTAATCTTATCCTTAGCCGGATTAAAAAAAGAAATCTCTATATTTTCAAATACTTGTGGCTATATTTTAAATATCTCTCTGAAATCTAGCCAAGAGATTTAATCTCTTTAGATCCTAAAAATATAATTAAAGTATTAGATGGCTTAGTGGATTAAGCCCTCGTCCTCGATCAGTTTTTAGTGTGTCTCTTGCCATTTTATTTTCACTCACATTTTCCTGAACATTTTCCGTTTGCAGGCAAAATTCCGCGTGATGGTGGAGGAGAACGCAGCGACCGGCGCCCGGCTTGACGGCGAGCTGGAACGCGCCAGGGGCGAGTGCGCGACTCTTCGGGGTGAATTGCGCGACGTCCGCGGCGCTCTGCCGATCGTACTGAATAACAACAACGCCGGCAACAACGGCGGCACCAACAGCAACAACAACCCCGGTACGGCAACCGGTGCCACCGGCGGAAACTCCGGCCAAGAAACCGAGGCTCAGCAGCAACAGGAGGACGGCAAGCGGCTCAGCGCCGGCAACAGCCCGATCGAAAAGAGGAGCTCGGCCAGCGATAAATCTGCCAGTCCCATCGACAAGAGGACTAGTCCGGTAGACAGGAAGGATAGAACTAGCCCCATCGATCGGCGAGCCAGTCCCATAGGTCTGTGACTTTTCATTTTTAAAATTTTTATTTTTCATTTTTCATTTTTTAAATTTATTTTATTTTTAATTAGAAATTATTTATTTTTTTTTTACTTACAATTTTTTCAGATTTTTAATCAGAATTTATTTGCACTCTGATCTTTGTTTTTACGTACATATTTCTCGCTTAAAAAATTGCAGTAAAATACTTAAATATGTAAATTTACCGCGAGAAAGTAATCGGCTCGGAATACGATTAGTAGCATAAGAAGCTGTAAATGAAAAGATATTTGCGAATGCTCTCGTCGAACATCTCCCGGGGGAGAGTTTTCGGGGGAGGAGGAGGGGAGAGAGGTTGAATGTTGAAAGTTTATTTCGCGAAAGTATTTTCCTAAAGACAGCTCTCCCCGGAAATGCGCTTAAGGTGGGCGGAAAGTTATCGACTTGGCGCGGCGGGCTTCGGCGGATAAGACTTTTTAAGAAGTTGGCGAGAATGAAATTTTAAGACGGCCGACGCGGCGCGCGAATTGTTTTTCGCATTTCCACGTTTATCTTAACTTCCCCGCCTGAATTTATCCTGTATATCTCGCGCGGTTATGTACTGTTACTTTTTATGACCGGCCATGATTCATAGTTTTCCCCGCGGCTTGAAGTCGAGGGGGAGAGATCGCAAAACTAGCAGTCTTTAAACTACTTATAGCGGCTCCTAGGAGCTCAGTCTTCACGACGAATGCTGGATATTATTCCGTGAAATATCGCGGAGTATATCACTTTGTCCGTTTCCGATCGTTCGCGATTTTCCATCTTTTTAATACGTTCGTTCAAATGCATCCGTCTGCGTGCCTTAATATTACATATGGATTTTATTAACATTCTATGAATTTCAATTCGCTGTCGCTCGAAAAGAAATTTCAACGTGTCTCTGAGTATACATTATATTTCGACGCAAAAACGTGTCGACGAAAGGTCTGCCTGCGAAAGATCAAAGATACGGCATGTACATTATGCAACTCGTGTTCGCTCCTTCTCTCTCTCTCTTTTTTCTCTCTTCCTCTCTCTCTTT